TGTCCCCAAAACATATTCTTGAACATTTACATGATTTTCCAATGTTTTAGAAGATAAAAAACAACTGCAAAGATTTCTTGGTGTTTTAACTTATGCTGAAACATATATTGAAAAACTTGCAGCCATGAGAAAGCCCTTACAGGCAAAATTAAAAAAAGATGTCATTTGGAATTGGTCAAATACCGATACAGATTACATCAAAAAGATAAAGAAAATTTTAATCAATTTTCCAAAGCTTTATCTTCCGAATATTGAAGACAGTTTAATTATTGAAACTGATGCTTCTGATGAATTTTGGGGAGGAGTTTTAAAAGCCAAAAATTCCAAAAACGAAGAACAAATTTGCAGATACACCTCTGGCAGTTTCAAAACAGCCGAGAAAAACTATCATAGCAATGAAAAAGAATTACTTGCTGTAAAAAGAGTTATTACAAAATTCTCTGTATATTTAACACCGGTAAAATTCCTGGTCCGTACAGATAATAAAAATTTTACTTATTTTCTCCGAACTAAGATCGCAGGAGACAACAAATTAGGCCGACTAATACGTTGGCAAGAGTGGTTCTCTCGATATACTTTTACTGTAGAATATCTTGCAGGAGATAAAAATGTGCTGGCAGACTGTCTCACCCGTGACTTCAGGTATGTCTTACATCATCCATGATCTCACTTGCTCCTCTCGAGCCCTATAAAAGGATATGATCCCCACGACATATTCCTTACAAACTTCACTCACAAAAAGAGAGGGGAAGGATAAAGAGTAAATTTACAAAATGGAAGACCTCAAATCCCTGAGGATGAAGAAACAAATGCTCCTCATAGAGCTATCAGCAATCGAACAAAAAATCAACTTGTATGAACAAGTAACAACGGTCACCGATGTACCGGAAAGCGAAAGCTTAAAAACAAAGGTTATTCCAGTGCAAACGGCATCTGGTAAAGAAACAACAAATCCGTTGAAAGCTGATGCTTTGCTTAAAAGCATAATAAAGGAGACAGCTACTCTTCTTCTAGAAGGAAAACCTAGCTTGTTGGTTAATTCCAACCCTTGTACTGAAGGAATCAGTAAAATGACAATTTTGTCACCCACTAGCGAATCTGTGTAGGAGCTTAAACCAGATTACAAAAAGGCTCTTAACAAAGAAGCTGAAAGATTCTATGTAATCTACAAAGGGCCACACGCCGGAATACATACAGACTGGGGAATTACAGAGACCTTCTGCAAGGTCGATAAAGTAACATGCAAAAAGTTCAGAAATGAAACAAGTGCACGACTTAGTTTTGCCACCTTCAATGACGAAGCCAATCAAACCAAAAAACCTCTTCTAAAGCCGAAAGTCCGGAAGATCAAAGAAGAACACAGAGACCAAAGATTTGACATCCCAAATGACGTCGAATATGAAGCCAACAACCCTGCAATCTCCTTTGAAGATTTCAGAATAATCTGGAGTAAAGCTAGAGCGGCATGCCCAGAAGATCTTATCCATGAGAGATTTTTCACAACAGATAAGAAAACCAAAAGTTTTGTACAACTTCCTTGAAGGAGCAGATCCAAGATTAATCCAACAAGCCTTTTCAGCAGGATTAATAGACAACATCTATCCAAGCTGCAATTTGCAAGAACTAAAGTTCTTCCCATCCAGCATGATAGAAACCATTAAGAACTTCCGAAAGAAAGTTCTCAAAACAAGAGATGATCCAATTTATATCAGAGTCATCTCCTCTCTTCCAGATTGGATTCAAGGAGCAACACTTGCCCCTTATCACTATCTAGAAATTGGCTTAGCAAAAGCCAAAGAAGACATCGAACAATCTCGACCAACGGAAGACAAAGATCTCCGGTTCGAAGAAATCCTTCATCAAAATCGTATCAACGGCCTTAGAAGAATTTCTGAAAAGATCATTGAGATAATCTCAGGATCAAAGAAAAAAGTTAATTATACAAATTCACACTGTATAATCACCAGCTGGAGCTATGGCAACACCAGCAACGAAGACCTTGAACGAGCATCCAAATTCGGAGAACAGTTCATGAACAACAACTTTGATGCATCTATCACTACAAGACAAATTTTATGTAAGCATGCGGAGCAGTTGTTTGAAGACCATCATTGCAACTACTGCAATTGCAGTGATTCCACGACAAAGGAGGGTCCCTTCTCTGAAGATGACAAATCTTCATCATCTTAAAGAAAGATGCTTCACGCGTCAAATGGTCCCCGCCACTCAAGAAAATAATGCCTCCTACATTATTAGAAGCTTTCCAGCTGTCCACAATAATGTAATCGTTAGTGGATAGAAACGTCATGCCTGACATAATAGGCAATTATCATACCCTCTCAATGTATCTATAAATTGAGAGTTATGTTTTCATTTTAGGATATCGCAAGAACGAGGGCAAGAAAAACACTCCCTATTCTGTAAATTTTTAATGTCTTGTGAGTAAAATCTCCCTTAGAAGGGAGAAGATGTAAAATATTGTAAGAGTACTCCCATTTCGGGAGCTCTTTTATCAATAAAACCATGTTTTGTTATACTTGAGTAATCATACAAAATAGATTCATGAAACCTGTAAGTGACAGAGTGTCAGGTCGACGATGGTCAACAGTACCGCAGGCATGAGGCCAACTGGGAAAGCAACCACACAGACCAACGGATGACACAGGCTGGCTTGAATAGTTTCTATCTATGTAAGTAATACTCCTACTCCAAAACACTTATTGATTAATGAGTTTTCTCTTTACAATTTTTATATCTATTCCCTTCTTAAAATCCCACATACATACATTTCAAATCCAAACAAACCCACTTTACAAATCCCAACTGGTATCAGAGCCTTGTTAAAAATGGCATTACATTATAATAAAACACTTTACAGTGAAGTGTTTGAAGAAATTCAAAATATCGAGGATGAAATTTCTCATCATAAAGAAATGATTTTCAATAATAAGAAAAATTTAGTGCATATAAATTTCAGAATTCTACAAGCACAAAATAAACATACTCACGAATATATACCAACCATGGTTACTATACGTAAGTATCTCCTTCACAGGCAAAAAACATATCAAGAACACCTTGATAGAGCTTTAAACTCAGTTTCAGAACTCAGAAAGAGGATTTTGACTTGCTAAGCATCTCTTAAAATGAATAAAGAAATTTTCAACAATTCTGAAGAAAATAATTCAGAAGAAAAACAAATCTTAACTTATGTTGAGGATGAAGACGGCTTTCATGCAAATCTCTTAATAAAACAAGACCTTCTCTCTCGAGTTAAGAAAACAGATTTAAAAATAAAGAAAGAAAACATTTTCAAGAATGTTCCTTCTAAACTTAGTATTTTAAACCCTCTCAAGAGGAAAAATGAAATTTTCTACTTTGTTAGTACTAAAGAAATGTCTGTAGACATAAAAGATACAATAGGAGCTGTTTTCCTACCCCTTTTAACTAAGGAACAAATAAACAATAACTTGAAAAATATTCCAGTTGGGATTAGATCAAAAATAAGAATGGTCCATATCGGAGCTGTAAAAATTTTGATAAAATCCCAATTCCAAGCAGGAATAAATTCTCCCATAAAAATGGCCTTAATTGACAACAGAATCACTGACCGACAGGACTGCATCTTAGGTGCTGCCAAAGGAAACCTTGCTTACGAAAAGTTTATGTTTTCAGTCTATCCAAAGTTTGCTCTGGATTTAAAATCTGCAAATATAGATAAAACCTTATCTTTTATACATCACTTTGAGAGAAGTGACCTTATGAGTCCAGGTGATAAACCATTCACAATAACCTATCTCATAGGATATGCCCTGACCAATAGTCACCATAGCATAGACTACAAGACAGACAAGTATATTGAACTTGACGACGTCTTCTCAGAAATCGGCCATGTCAAAGATAAGCAATTCTGCGACATAAATCCTCAAGAAAACTCTTGGGTTTTAAACATAGCTAGAAACAAAAAAGCTCTAGGAGAAACTCTTAGACCAAGAATTTCTATGGATTCACTTCACATAGGAGAAAGCTCAGAAAGAAAAGATAGTAACTTAATAAGAAACATGTCTTTAAAAATTGATAGCCTACGTCAAAATATCAAACAAATCACTGAGATTGTAAATGAGTAATAAAATAGATTTTCCTCATTTTTATAAAAAAGGTAAAACAGTCAAAATTAAAACTCTTGACGACAATACTGAAAAGAAAGAATACGTTTTCTCTACTTCTGGAAAAGCTGGTATTCAAACAATTGTAAATCATTGCAATAATCTCAACCAGATCATTGCAAGATGTCTTTTAAAGACTTCAAAAATAAGCCATTACCTTGGTGTTTCAAAAGATATTTCTACAAATATTTCAAAAAATAAAATACCTTTTAACCAATTTAAAAGTGATTTAGCTTTCCTTAAAAATAATCTTGACAAAAAAGATTTTGAAAAATTATTCGAAACAATCGAAAAACAAAATAGGTTGACTATTAAATTAACCCAATCTATTGATAAACATTCTATCCCCCTAGAAAAATCTTTAAAAAATAATCAGTTTGTGGAAGAAGTTGCCAGAAAAGCAAATATTGAAGGCACTCTTAAGGAAACCAACCTTAAGATCACTAGTATACAAGACCAGTTAAAACAACTGAATAGGATGAGCTTAACCGAGCTCAATAGATCGATCAACCTCCTTGAAGAAAAAATAGTTGGGCTGATCATAAACCTCGACTTAACAGTCAATAAATACGTAACCACTAACCAGTTAGAAGTTGCATCTGCAAAAATTATTGCAGACATTACTAAAGAGTTGTTTGAAAAGATTGATTCTTGCCCTTGTAATAAAGACATTCTTGAACACATCAAGAATATTTCCATTATAGAGAAAAAAACCAAACCGGGAAAATACTCAGGACTTAAGAAATACTCACCTCCCAATCCTAGTATTGGAAACCCAGACTTAGGTAGCTCAAAAGACTCCCAGAAGATTGATATCTTTAGGAAGGAGAAATAATGAAAGAAAAAGTCTTCGAGCAGCTTGAGAAATATTTCTTTAATCTTCAGTATGAAGACTATGATAAACCTGACCAAAAACTCATTCAGCTTCTATCCTTGGAAACTGAAGAATGCGAAGAACTATATCAAAAAGAGCCACAACTTTTTGATCAATACTTTAAAGTAGCTAAAGCAAATGAACCTGATACCGAATCAGAACAGGAAGACAATCCTAACATAAACGCTGTCAAGTTCGAATACTCAGATAGCAACGAAGAAATGGAAGCAGAATCTTCATATATGGCCGCAAACAGAGGCGAGAGAAAGAAGAAAAAGAACTATGAGTTCAAAATGCCTGTCCATAATGGTATTCCAAATAGTGGTAAAGGACCCAATACGATCAATGTCCTCAATATTGATTGTATCCAGGACTTAAAACTCAGAGAAAGAGTTATAGAAAAATGGTTACTAAGATTTCACTAATCTTACAAACAAACCCAGATGAATTTGGAAATGCAAAAAATGTTCTCCTACTTTTAGAACACAAGACTGATGGAATTGTGCAAAAATTCCTTAGAAATAATAATTGGAATGAAGAATTACATGGATTAGACCTTTTTGATAATCTTATAAATGTCATTTACACTACCTTCTTAGGACTAGATTATGTCTCCAATAAAGACTTCACTATAAATAAGAAAGTCGACATAGCAAGAGTCTCAATGACAAAACTCCAGTTACATGATATTTGTCTCCTTGACAAATACACATGTAGATATGAATCATATCTTTATGATATTCCACAGAGATGTGAATATTCACAATGGATATCTGCTTATCTTATGAAAATACCAATCATTGGAGAAATCTGTACTGAAAGATGGAAAAAAGAAGCCATTGGAGAAATTCAGCAAACCAGTCTTTCTTATGCAACAAAAATTGCAAAAGAAGAAATTGACAGAATATGTCAAGACAGGTATAAACAACAAAAGCTTAAAACTATAAGCAAGGATTGTTGTAACATTCTGTCTGATTTCAAAGATTTTGATATCGGAAGAAAAACTTATACTAAGAAAAAGTATAAAGATAAAAACAAAAAGAAATACAAATCTTTTTGGAAGAAGAAAAAGAGAAGATTTTCTCCAGGAAAATACTTCAAAAAATCTTCAAAAGAAACACCTAAAAAGAATACTTCCTGCCCACAAGGAAAGAAAAAATGCAGGTGTTGGATTTGCAACGAAGAAGGACACTACGCTAATGAATGTCCAAATAGGAAAAAGTACCCTGACAAGGTCAAAGTATTACAAGCCGCTAATAACGGAGGCTATGAAGCTCTTGAAGAAGAATACGACGGTATACAACGTGTTTTCATTCTACATGTTGATACTAATTCCTCGTCATCCTCAGAAGAAGATGAAACAACTACTGATGACTCAGAATAGCCTTAAACAGACTCCTGCTTTTAAGACGGGTGAGGTTAACCAATTTTGTGCAAACCTGCAGAAAAATAATGATTCTCTCATGAATGTCACTAATCCAAACTCTATTTATGTTTCTGCTTTCCTTAACTTCAAAGGATATAAGAAATTTAGGGTACACTGTTTTGTAGACACAGGTGCATCCTTATGTCTTGCAAGCAAGTTCATCATTCCTGACGAACTATGGGAAAATGCTCCCAAAGAAATTGTCGCTACTATTGCAAATGGTGACACTATAAAAATTAATAAAGTTTGCAGAAACATTAATCTCGAGCTTTCAGGAGAATATTTCAACGTTCCCACTATTTATCAACAAGACTCAGGAATTGATGTTGTAATTGGCAACAACTTCTGCCAAGTCTATGGACCATTTATACAATGGATAGATAGAATTGCCTTTCATCTTAACAACGATATGGTAATTGTAAAAAAGGTTACTGAAGCCTTTAGTAAAGGAAAACCAAGTTTTCTTGAAACCCAGAAAAGGGGTTTTAAAGAAAAACAAATTCCAGGTACCAATATAACCCAAGAAGGAATTATTGGAGAAAGGATTATTTCTGCCCAAACCACCTTTTTCAAACAGATAGAAGATCTTCTTGAAAAAGTTTGTTCTGAAAATCCTATTGATCCAGAAAAAACCAAAGGATGGATGAAGGCTTCAATCAAGCTCATTAATCCTAAAACAATTATCAGAGAAAAACCTATGGTTTACTCTCCACAAGATAGAGAAGAATTCTCCAAACAAATCAAAGAACTACTTGATATAAGATTAATCAAAGAATCAAAATCTCCTCATATGTCCCCTGCTTTTCTTGTTAACAAAGATGCTGAGAAAAGAAGAGGAAAGAAACGCATGGTTGTCAACTACAAAGCAATCAATGATGCAACCATTGGAGATTCCCATAATCTCCCTAATATGCATGAGCTCTTAACCCTGTTACGGGGAAAAAATATTTATTCAAGTTTCGACTGCAAATCTGGTTTCTGGCAGGTCCTACTTGATGAAGAATCGCAGCTACTCACTGCTTTTACATGTCCTGATGGACTCTTTCAATGGAAGGTACTACCCTTTGGGCTTAAACAAGCTCCTAGTATTTTTCAAAGACACATGCAGAACGCCCTACGAGGTCTTGAAAGTTTCTGTACGGTATACGTTGATGATATCATGGTCTTCAGCAAAAATGAACAAGAACACTATGTTCATGTTACCCAGGTTCTCAGAACCATTTTAAAATACGGAATAATACTTTCAAAAAAGAAAGCTCATCTTTTCAAAACAAAAATTAATTTTTTGGGTTTAGAAATAAATGAAGGCACTCATTGTCCCCAAAAACATATTCTTGAACATTTACATGATTTTCCAAATGTTTTAGAAGATAGAAAACAACTGCAAAGATTTCTTGGTGTTTTAACTTATGCTGAAACATATATCGAAAAACTTGCAGCCATGAGAAAGCCCTTACAGGCAAAATTAAAAAAAGATGTCATTTGGAATTGGTCAAATACCGATACAGATTACATCAAAAAGATAAAGAAAATTTTAATCAATTTTCCAAAGCTTTATCTTCCGAATATTGAAGACAGTTTAATTATTGAAACTGATGCTTCTGATGAATTTTGGGGAGGAGTTTTAAAAGCCAAAAATTCCAAAAACAAAAGAACAAATTTGCAGATACACCTCTGGCAGTTTCAAAACAGCCGAGATAAACTATCATAGCAATGAAAAAGAATTACTTGCTGTAAAAAGAGTTATTACAAAATTCTCTGTATATTTAACACCGGTAAAATTCCTGGTCCGTACAGATAATAAAAATTTTACTTATTTTCTCCGAACTAAGATCGCAGGAGACAACAAATTAGGCCGACTAATACGTTGGCAAGAGTGGTTCTCTCGATATACTTTTACTGTAGAATATCTTGCAGGAGATAAAAATGTGATGGCAGACTGTCTCACCCGTGACTTCAGGTATGTCTTACATCATCCATGATCTCACTTGCTCCTCTCGAGCCCTATAAAAGGATATGATCCCCACAACATATTCCTTACAAACTTCACTCACAAAAAGAGAGGGGAAGGATAAAGAGTAAATTTACAAAATGGAAGACCTCAAATCCCTGAGGATGAAGAAACAAATGCTCCTCATAGAGCTATCAGCAATCGAACAAAAAATCAACTTGTATGAACAAGTAACAACGGTCACCGATGTACCGGAAAGCGAAAGCTTAAAAACAAAGGCTATTCCAGTGCAAACGGCATCTGGTAAAGAAACAACAAATCCGTTGAAAGCTTATGCTTTTCTTAAAAGCATAATAAAGGAGACAGCTACTCCTCTTCCAGAAGGAAAAACTAGCTTGTTGGTTAATTCCAACCCTTGTACTGAAGGAATCAGTAAAATGACAATTTTGTCACCCACTAACGAATCTGTGCAGGAGCTTAAACCAGATTACAAAAAGGCTCTTAACAAAGAAGCTGAAAGATTCTATGTAATCTACAAAGGGCCACACGCCGGAATACATACAGACTGGGGAATTACAGAGACCTTCTGCAAGGTCGATAAAGTAACATGCAAAAAGTTCAAAAATGAAACAAGTGCACGACTTAGTTTTGCCACCTTCAGTGACGAAGCCAATCAAACCAAAAAACCTCTTCTAAAGCCGAAAGTCCGGAAGATCAAAGAAGAACACAGAGACCAAATATTTGACATCCCAAATGACGTCGAATATGAAGCCAACAACCCTGCAATCTCCTTTGAAGATTTCAGAATAATCTGGAGTAAAGCTAGAGCGGCATGCCCAGAAGATCTTATCCATGAGAGATTTTTCACAACAGATAAGAAAACCAAAAGTCTGTACAACTTCCTTGAAGGAGCAGATCCAAGATTAATCCAACAAGCCTTTTCAGCAGGATTAATAGACAACATCTATCCAAGCTGCAATTTGGAAGAACTAAAGTTCTTCCCATCCAGCATGATAGAAACCATTAAGAACTTCCGAAAGAAAGTTCTCAAAGCAAGAGATGATCCAATTTATATCAGAGTCATCTCCTCTCTTCCAGATTGGATTCAAGGAGCAACACTTGCCCCTTATCACTATCTAGAAATTGGCTTAGCAAAAGCCAAAAAAGACATCGAACAATCTCGACCAACGGAAGACAAAGATCTCCGGTTCGAAGAAATCCTTCATCAAAATCGTATCAACGGCCTTAGAAGAATTTCTGAAAAGATCATTGAGATAATCTCAGGATCAAAGAAAAAAGTTAATTATACAAATTCACACTGTATAATCACCAGCTGGAGCTATGGCAACACCAGCAACGAAGACCTTGAACGAGCATCCAAATTCGGAGAACAGTTCATGAACAACAACTTTGATGCATCTACCACTACAAGACAAATTTTCTGTAAGCATGCGGAGCAGTTGTTTGAAGACCATCATTGCAACTACTGCAATTGCAGTGATTCCACGACAAAGGAGGGTCCCTTATCTGAAGATGACAAATCTTCATCATCTTAAAGAAAGATGATTCACGCGTCAAATGGCCCCCGCCACTCAAGAAAATAATGCCTCCTACATTATTAGAAGCTTTCCAGCTGTCCACAATAATGTAATCGTTAGTGGATAGAAACGTCATGTCTGACATAATAGGCAATTATCAGACCCTCTCAATGTATCTATAAATTGAGAGTTATGTTTTCATTTTAGGATATCGCAAGAACGAGGGCAAGAAAAACACTCCCTATTCTGTAAATTTTTAATGTCTTGTGAGTAAAATCTCCCTTAGAAGGGAGAAGATGTAAAATATTGTAAGATACTCCCATTTCGGGAGCTCTTTTATCAATAAATCCATGTTTTGTTATACTTGAGTGTTCATACAAAATAGATTCATGAAACCTGTAAGTGACAGAGTGTCAGGTCGACGATGGTCAACAGTACCGCAGGCATGAGGCCAACTGGGAAAGCAACCACACAGACCAACGGATGACACAGGCTGGCTTGAATAGTTTCTATCTATGTAAGTAATACTCCTACTCCAAAACACTTATTGATTAATGAGTTTTCTCTTTACAATTTTTATATCTATTCCCTTCTTAAAATCCCACATACATACATTTCAAATCCAAACAAACCCACTTTACATTCAGGGTTTTGCACCCTGTAAAGCTCACGGGCCTTCTCCACCATCTCATTCAGGGTTTTGCACCCTGTAAAGCTCACAAACTCCCGGATATCATCCCTTGGCATGGAATGATACCTCGTCCTCCGCATGTCCTCATCGATAGCATACTGTGGGATGAACAATGCTCGCTCCCGAAACTTGGTGATGATCTCCGCCACAGTCTCGGTGGTCTGCTGGAGCTCCTGGAACTCCCTCACCATCTGTAGCACCTTAATAGTCGGTGCAAAGTCCAAATCAAATCGCCGAACAAACTCGGCCCATGTCATCTCAGCCACACCGGCTGCTCCCACCTGGTTGGTCACCTCTCCCCACCAATCTCGGGCTCTGTCTCTCAACATGCATGAAGCAAAACCCACCTTTGCCGCATCCGGGCAAGGACTCGTGTGTTGGGCATTCTCGATGTCCGTCACCCAGTGTCGGCTCACGATGGGGTCCTTGACTCCGAAAAACTCTGGCGCTCCACACGCCTTGAACTCCCGAAACGAGGGAGTTCGGGCTGCGATCTGGCCCGCAGCAATCTCGGCTCTGAATGACCTGAGCCTCTCCTCCATAATCTCCATCATCCCTTCCTTGACCGTCCCAAAGATCACTGGGGTAGCGTCAAGGATGCTCTTCGTCACCTCGGCTGCAATGATCTCGCGCAACCTCTTATCAATGGGCTTGGTACCGCTACCTGATCCGGATCTAGATCCTGATCCCCCTGTCCCAAATCGTGTCACCACCATGTTGAACTGAAATGTCATAAACCATAATAATTAGGACATATATATAGGGGATCCTCTCACAT